AAAAAAAAAAAAATCAAAGACAAAAAGCTTAAAATGCATAATTTTTTAAACCCATAAGCTTGCTACAAGTGAGCCAGAAATGTGAAGCTAAGTTTTCTAACAGCTCAACTAACAAAATCGTTCCAATGTCATAATGTCCAAAATATTACAATATATCACTTCTGCCAAAGAGATAAAACTAGTCAGTAATGCTAACTATGTGATATTCATTCTGTAACTCAGGAAAAAAGTCCATAAAGTTGTTCTTCCAATATTATAATAACTTAAATAAGTGCAAAAAAAGATATGTTTAGATATGTCAAGTAAATCTGTTAGTATTCACCTGTGAGAATTGTTCAATTCTCTCATTCACATCAGGTAGCATCCATGTATCCTCACCCCGAAGTCGCTTAAGTTCTTTACGTCTTTCTTCTTTTTCAAAATTGGCTTTAGCCTACAACAACAACAACAACAACAAAAAAAATGGCAACTGATCCAACTGTTTTTCACACATAAAAAAAATGGAAAACAAAAACTTACCTCACTTTTACATAAAGGCATCTATTCATTAACCAACAGACTATTCCGTGCCAGGAACTTGCTTCTACCAGTGTTGAAAAGATTTAAAAACAAAACCTCTTCTTCCACGTTACCAACCACATTATTAGTCTCCAGTGAATTAAGCCACCAATCAGGAACAGAATCCTAGGACCTATTCCAAGCCCTCCGCTCTCTCTAAGCTCCCAACCTCAAATATGATTTGGAACCCCTTTTCCCTTCACCATCCCCAGGGCTACCACCTTAGACTTTCACAAGTTAGGAGACTGACCTCCATGCAATCAATATGCAAAGCCTGTACCCCAATAGCCAGCCCCCCAAAATGCTTCAGGAAGAATCATCTTTCTAAAAAGAAATTATCAAATTACTAATTTTTAGTCGTCCTTCAACAATAGTCAAATAAAGTAAGTTTTTCTTAGGAAGATGTTCCTAACCTCTCATTCTTCCTCCTAAACTTCAAAGCTGGGTTTGGTCCTTCTCAAACTCTGTGCATATCTTTACTATAAGATTTATCACAGCTTACCAACCCTACTTCCAAAAACTACTTGAAACACCAAAGAGACAA